ATGTGTCCTTTTCCTTATGTTTTTGATTATTTTAGCTAGTTGTTTTTTCATTTTTTTTCTTTTTCTTTTCTTTTTTTCTTTTTTTTTTTTTTGAGACAGAGTCTCGCTCTGTTGCCCAGGCTGGAGTGGCATGATCTCAGCTCACTGCAGCCTCCACCTCCAGGGTTCAAGCAAATCTCCTGCCTCAGCCTCCCAAGTAGCTGGGATGACAGGCGCGTGCTGCCGTTCCTGGCTAATTTTTGTATTTTTATTAGAGACAGGGTTTCACCATGTTGGCCAGGCTGGTCTTGATCTCCTGAACTCATGTTCCACCCTCCTCAGCCTCCCAAAGTGTTGGGATTACAGGCGTGAGCCACTGCTCCCGGCCTATTAATTTTCTTAATTGTACTTAATTGTTGTTAATTTTCTTAACTTACAGGAGTGGGTAAGTTAAGACATTCCAGCTTTGTGTGTGTGTATGAATTACTTGTTTACAGCCTTTGCTCATACATATTAGGTTGTTTAATTGCCTTTTGACTTTGTCTAACTTTTGTAAACATTTTAAATTTTGGTATAATGAATCTATCAATCCTTCCCTTGGTGATTTATGTTTTTGTTTAAGAACTCTTTCCCTATCTCAAAGTCTTAAAAATTATTAGGCAAAGATGTAAGACTCAATTTAATGGTTGCTTTTTGCTGTTAAGTATTTGATTCATGTGAAGTGTATTTTTATATGATTTAAGGTAGAGACATAATTGCATTTTTTCTATATGGTGAGCCAATTTAACCAGAACAACTTAATAAATCATCTGTTCTTTCTCTACAGATGATGCTTCTGTTGTATGCACTTACCCCTTCAAACAGGTAGTCACTACTTTATTCCCCATGGCCTAGACTAGTGCCCCTAAAGCAGGAGTACCCAATAATGGCAACGTGCTTGTACTCCTGAAGCAGAGTGTTCAATCTTTTGTCTTACCTGGGCCACATTGGAAGAATCGTCTTAGGCCACACATAAAATACACTAACACTAATGATAGCTGATGAGCTTTAAAAAAAATGGCTGGGCGCAGTGGCTCATGCCTGTAATCCCAGCACTTTGGGAGGCCAAGGCGGGTGGCTCACGAGGTCAAGAGATCAAGACCATCCTGGCCAACATGGTGAAACTCTGTCTCTACTAAAAATACAAAAAATTAGCTAGGCATAGTGGCAAGCGCCTATAATCCAAGCTACGTGGGAGGCTGAGGCAGGAGAATCACTTGAACCCGGGTGACGGAGGTTGCAGTGAGCCGAGATGGTGCCATTGCATCCAGCCTGGGCAAAAAGAGCAAAACTCTATCTCAAAAAAAAAAAAAAAAAAAAAAAATTGCAAAAAAAAATCCCATAATGTTTTAAGAAAGTTTACAAATTTGTATTGAGCCACACTCAAAGTCATCCTGGGCTGCATGTGGCCCATGGGCTGAGGGTTGGACAGACTCATTCTAAAGCTTGCATTCTGGGCGCACCCTTAAAGTCTCTGCCTGAACATCTTCTCTGGGAAACTTTCCCCAACTACATCCTCCCCCACACATTCCATTTCTGCCTCCCAATGCAGTGGTGGTACAAGGGAAATAATTACCAGATCTATTATTTTGCATTACATGATCTTGTTAACATGCATTATCATTGTTTTAAAAATATATATATATATAAAATACAAAAACAAAGTACATAGCAGCTGGGCATGGTGGCTCACGCCTGTAATCCCAGCACTTTGGGAGGCCGAGGCGGGTGGATCATGAGGTCGGGAGATCGAGACCATCCTGGCTAACACGGTGAAACCCCGTCTCTACTAAAAATACAAAAAAATTAGCTGGGTATGGTGGTGGGCACCTGTAGTCCCAGCTACTTGGGAGGCTGGGGCAGGAGAATGGCGTGAACCCAGGATGTGGACCTTGCAGTGAGCCGAGATTGCGCCACTGCACTCCAGCCTGGGTGATAGAGTGAAACTCTGTCTCACAAAGAATAAATAAATAAATAAAAATTTAAAAAGCACAGCTTCATTGGGCTATAACTGATATATTGAAAAACTGGACATATTAATGTATATAATTTAATGAGTTTGGAGATACACATACAATCATAACACCATCATCACTCTCAAGGCAATAAACATATCTATCACCTCCGAACATTTCCTACTACCCCATCTCCCTGTTTGTGGTGAGAACACTTAACATGCTTAACATGAAATCTGCATTCTTAAAAAAATTTTAAGTAGATAATACTTTTTCGTTGACCATTGGTACAATGCTATACAGCAGATCTCTAGTCCTTTTTCATCTAGTGTAACTGAAACTCTGTACCCATTGAACAACAACTCTCCATTTCCCTCTCCCCACGGCTCCTGGCAACAACTATTCTACTCTCTGTCCCTGTGAGTTTACTTCAGATGCCTCATATAAGTGGAGTCATGCAGTATTTGTCATTCTGTGCCTGGTTATGTCACTTAACATGATGTCCTCCAGATTCATCCACCTTGTCACATATGCCAAGATTTCCTTTTTTACTGAGGCTGAATAATACTCCATTGTATGTATATAACACATTTTCTTCATTCATTGATTCATTCTTGTTTTCTGTTTTGTTTTTTTGAGACAGAGTCTTGCTCTGTCGCCCAGGCTGGAGTGCAGTGGCGCGGTCTCACTTCACTGCAACCTTTGCCTCCCGGACTCAAGTGATTCTCTTGCCTCAGCCACCAGAGTAGCTGGGATTACAGGCACCCACCACCATGCCCAGCTAATTTTTTTTTTTTTTTTTTTGTATTTTTAGTAGAGACGGGGTTTTACCATGTTGGCCAGGCTGGTTTCGAACTCCTGACCTCAAGTGATTCGCCCGCCTCGGCCTCCCAAAGTGCTAGGATTACAGGTGTGAACCATCATCCCCGGCCCATTTATTCACTTTTGATGGACATTTAGGTTGTTTCCATATCTTGGAATAATTGTGAATAATGCTGCAATGAATATGGGTGTGCAGATATCTTTTAAAGATCCTGATTTCATTTCTTTTGGATACATACCCAGAAGTGGATTGCTGAATATAATAGTTCAATTTTTAAGTTTTTAAGGAAACTCTGTACTGTTTTCCATAGTGGCTGCACCATTTGGCACTCCCACCAACAATGTACAGGGTTTCCATTGGTCCACATTCTTGCCAACGCTTGTTATGTTTTGTTTTTTGATAATGGCCAACAGGCATATGAAAAGTTGCTCAATTTCACTAATCATTGGGAAAAAGCAAATCAAAACCACAATGAAATATTAACTTACACATATTAAGATGGCTATTACATGTGTCTCTTGCCGGCCAGGCTCTGAGCTCACAATCACAGGGACTGTGTCTTTTTTGTCTTTATCTCCAAAGTCCAGCATAATGCTCATTCGTCAATAATTGTTCTAGTAATTTTATCCTAAATTTTCCCTAAATATAATTTCAAAAGGGTTTTAGGGGTAATAGGGCATGAAACAAAATTAAACTATGTTTTGAATTTCTTTCTTCAGTACTCAGAGACAGAGAAAATTATAACATTCAATTACAGATTTGCTTTTATTTAAATTAGTAAGGCTGTAAATTATGAATATAAATGTGCTTAGCTAGAACAAATATTGCTCAGAATAAAAAGATATACAAATATAATGCTAATATACAATACAGGCTATCTCGTAAAAATTTATATTTGTGTACACACATACATAATTGGCTACATTTGACAATGGGGTTTATTTGATTCCTCCATAGTAATTAGAACAGGAGATTTAACTGATTTCAGCCATGATGCAGTTACTTAAACACACACACACACATACACACATGCACACATGCACGTGCGCACACATGCACACCCCACATAAATAAGTTTGGGAAAATTTTAAATTTTCTGACTCGGGACTTTTCAAAGCCATCTCAAAGGAGCTTCATCAAAACATTTAACGTTGGCATCACCCCACAAACACTCAGAGATAAGTGTTAAAATAGAAATCCAATTGAGTAATGGGAAACTGACTTAGATTATCTTATTTGTTTGTATATTTATTTGTCATCTATCTCTCTGACTCATTCACTGCTCTATTTTCAGCATCTACAATAGTGCTTAGTAATGAATACACATGCAGTACACAAACGTGCTAACACAGTACGTGACTAACGATGAGGGCTATGCACATTTATCTGGAATGAGAATTATTTAGTCAAAAAAAAAAATCTGGAAAGCATAAGTGCTGTAATTGGATAAAGCTAAAATTCTATTACTCTATTGAAACCAGATATCAAGTGATACTTTTAAACTAAACGTGAGGTAATGGTTGAAAAGGGATTAAAACACTGGAATTTGGGCATGCCGAATCCAAATCATTGAATATTTAGTTACAGATCTAATAAAGCAGGTAGACCAAGAATAGGATAATTGCATATAGAGACCTTGGTTCTAGTCACAACTGTGTCACTGTGAGATTTTGGCCAATGAGGTACAATTTCCTCAATTATAAAATGCATTAGAGAAAGCTGCCCTCTCTTCTTTACAGAAGTGCTGTAAGAAACAAATACAAACAAATTTATATACCCTTATTATTTACTCATCTATTACAAGCAAAATATAAATGTGATTGTCCTTACTACGATCAACACTGAAAACAGTGAATTGAGAATGTTGCTGTGGCAGGCCAGAGGTGGGTCACTTGAGTCTCTGTTGAAAGAACTTTCTGGCCAGCAAGTTAGTGGACAGCCTCCAGCTGCGCCTTCTGGATTGGCTGCAGCATTTGCAAGTCTTTTTTTTTTTTCCCCAGAATAGCCCCAGACAATGACTTAACATGGTGGGGCACTAAGACCCAGACATTTCTGCCCAGCATGACACTCTCTCCTCTCTGGGCAAACTTTGCTATGGGCCTCACCAAGAGCCGGCCAAGACTCTCCCAGAGCTGGGTCTGAATCTCATGGTTTTTCTCCTCACTCTCCACACCTCCCGTTTTCCTATCACAGGTGGGAGCCTGAAAGCCCACCCCATACCCATACTTCTGTTTCTTCTCCCTTTTACCTTTCTCAAACATTAACCTCCAATCAGTGTTTGCACTTCTAACTTTGTCTTGGTGTCTTGAGTTCTAGAAAACCTGACTAACACAGTCCCTCAAACCCCAATCACCCGAAGCAGCCCATGTCAATATTTTCCATTTTATATTTTTTACGGAAATGTTCAAATACATAAAAATATTGTGAGCTTTTTATTGCAAAATGCTTAATTTCTTTTTTTTCTTCCTTTTCCCCTCATTCTTGCTGTCATCTTAAGGATGCTGAATTTCTACTTCTTTTTTCTTCTTGGAATTATATCATGTATTTATGAAGAAGAGGTGACAAAACATTATTTCAAATGTACACCTTATCAAATGCTAACCCCCACCTGACATTCACCTATTTTATCAACAACAATGGTTGAGAGGACTCATAGACATTTCTTGAGAACACAGCATTGAATAGCATGTCCTCAATGAATCAGTGAGTTGGAGGTATGAGTAATCTCCAGTAGCTTTTTAGGGTGAGGGTCAGATTCTTTCCTGATATGAGCCTGGAGCCCTTCTGTAAAGTCCTTGTTTCCATACTGTCCCCGGCTTGTTGAATTCCAGTAGAGAATGACCAGCAACCATACAGCTTTTAGCTCTGACCGGATCAGTGAGTTCTTTCATATCCAAGCTCCAATTTAAACACTCTTGTCTCTTGGTTCTATGTAATCCTCTGCAGGCATACTCTACGATAGGCTCAGTTGGGTCTCAAAAGTTCCAGTTTTACAAAGAGTTTCTTCATTAAATGCTCCTAATGTAACTTATAGGCATCACTTCACATTGACCTTGTGAAAGGAGAACATCTGAGCGGGTATTTGGATGATGGGTAGACGCTAAGAACTTTTCCCAGAGAGCTCATTGTCTGCTGTCTTACAAAAGAGAGAATCCTGTGCATTGTTTTGTTTTCATTTGCTTCTATTGCCTTTTAATTATTTTTGGTTTTCTTTCTGCATCAATGCTACAATTACATACTCTATGAATTTCCTATGTAAGCTTTGGTACCATTTGGCATCATGATACACTGTTATTTTCAACAGTATCTTTTTTTAAAAAGCTTATTCCCACTAGAAGAGTTTGTTTATTTTAAGGTGGTAAATCTGTATTTTCTAATTGTTTCTATCTTTCTGTCTCTCTCTCTTTTTTTTTTTTTAATTAGCTTTTCAACTTGACTGTAAAATGCCACAGCGCAGAGAATGTACCTGGGAAGATGAGCTTGCATGGAGCCAGGCAAAGCAGATTACAATCTGGGCTCTCTTCTCATATTAAGATCGACAGCTTCTTTGAGCCTCTGCTTCCTCATCTTTATTGTAAAACAGTAACAAAATTAAATCCTCTTAACCTTTACAGGGAATAATATCATGGCATGTGCAATGTTACTGCAAGAATTAGCACTAATTTGAGGACAGTTTTTCTGTGTCTTTGAATGGAAGTCCATAATTGGAATTGTTAATACAGTTTTTAGTTTCCCTCAGACATATGCTTGCCTGAAGGCTAGTGTAGGATATAATCTGAGCTCTTTACTATGAATGTGTTAATTCCATTTGACTTAAAGCTACTCAAAGCAGAGGATGCTGGAGGCTGGTCCCTTGGCTGTTTCACACCCTGGTCAGAATATTTTCAGTTTCTGTCTTCAAGGTGACATTCACAATTGCTGGTTTTCCATACCACATTTCTTCCCTATACTTGAATTTCTAGGATTACAATAAAAGAGAGCTAATATTCACCAACATCTTTAGTGTAAGAAATCATCCACACATTGTAGATGTATAAGGCCCAACGACTGACATAAAGGCAGCACAGTGCCCTGTAAAGAGCACAGATGTGGGAATTTCCCATTGACTTGTCCTGCGCTGGCTGCAAACATTTAAGCAATAGCTTCTGGTGCCCTTTGCTGCTCGCCTATATCATGAATATAATAGCTATGTTGATAGCATTTTCTGTTGTTATTTAGAAGATACTTTTAAACCCCTAGTTTTTATTTATTTTTATTTATTGTCCAGTGGCCAGTTACTAGAATGTTTTTATTTTTTGCATGTTATAAATCTTTTCTCTGTGGTTTGAACTTTCAAAACCATGATTGATTTTCCACTTTGTTATAGAGTGTTTTTCTTTTCTACAAAGTCAAAAAAGTCATCCCTTGAAGGCACAGGCAATAATCTTTTGAAATCAATGAAAACGATGGAAGCGCCGAATCCAGTAAACCAAAGATAACACAAAGACCAGGCTACAGAGGTGAGAGGTGTCTGATGAGAGGGAATGGCTGAGTGAGGTAACACTGTTTCCTATGGACCCCAGTTTTATCTTTCCCATCAATTAGTATAATGGGAAAATTCTTGTAGTGTTCAATGATGTCTTCTACTGAATCAAACTTCTGAAACACAGAAAAGAAAGTTAATGATTTTTAAAATATCTTTTGTGTCTGTAGGTTAAAATATAGCTAAGGTGCTTGATTTTGCACAGGGAAGAGGTGAACCAATTTAACCATTTTTGTATGGTAACGGTGTTTCAGGAAGTGGTTTTTTTTCTTTGTTTGTTTTTTTCTGAGACCTTTTTTTGCTCTGTCACCCAGACTGGAGTGCAGTAATGTGATCTTGGCTCACTACAACCTCTGCCTCCCGGGTTCAAGCGATTTTCCTGCCTCAGCCTCCCAAGTAGCTGGGATTGCAGGCATGCGCCACCACGCCCAGCTTATTTTTATATTTTTAGTAGAGACAGGGTTTTGCCATGTTGCCCAGACTGGTCTCAAACTCCTGACCTCAGGTGACCCACCTGCCTAGGCCTCCCAAAGTGCTGGGATTACAGGCATGAGCCAGCACACCCGACTAGAAGTAGTTTTTAAAAAGAATATGGCAAGCTTGAAGGATGAGTGATAAGAATGATAAGGGAGAAAAAAGGTTCTTGAGATGACCAAAAGTGAGCCCTATGGCAGCTCTTTAAATTTCCTACACAGGGAGTTTTCCCTCTCTGGAATCAGATCACATGGGTCAAGTTCCATTCTATTGTTATTACAGCCTTTCTATCTTAAGTGACTTAGGTGGGTTAGTTACACAGCAATCAAGCGTTGTAATCTCTGTTGCCTCCCAAACCTCAACCTTAGCTCTGACCAGCAAAAATATAGAAGATTCAGGCTCGAATGTAGTAAATTGGAGGGCAATGCCTGCAGTGAGCTTGCTCTCCAGTAATGAAGTCTAAGGAATTCTAGTATACATAGAAAGAACAGGGACAACCACAGGGCTGCTTAGCCGGTTCAGCTGCCCTCCTCGAGCTTCTTGTGAAATAATGAGGTGGCTGCAGATTTCAGTGTTTCTAGATACACAGATAAAGTGTTATGACAATTTAACGGAAAGTAAGATTATTTCAGGTTTAGGGAAATGGGGAAGTGCTTTGTCAAGGATGCAGACTTGAAATGGGCTATGTTATGGGACATGCCAGATAAGTAGACAGGAGGGTTTAAAGACATTAAAAGCACATAATGTACAGGGCCATGCATAAGGACAGGGTACTGAGAAAACTTGAGCACATATGGTAATTTTTAAAATTTCAATAGCTTTAGAGGTACAAGTGGCTTTTGGTTACGTGGATGAATTGTATAGTGGTGAGGTCTGGGCTTTAGTGTACCCGTCACCCAGATAATATACATTGTATTACCCACTAGGTGATTTTTCATTCCTTAACCCCCTTATCACCCTCTCCGTCTCTGAGTCTTCAATGTCCATTCTGCATATACAGTAATTCTGATTAGGTGAATTTGGATGAGTTCCCGAAGGAGAATATTGGGAGGTAATTAGGAAGAACTTGCTCAACCTGCCTCCCATGTTTCAAGACAACTTGGATCCTCCTTAGCAAGCCTGTGAGGTGAACAGGGCAGGAGGAATGATCTTCCCTAAAGAGCTAAGGGAATTTCAGCTCAGAGAAGTGGACTGCCTTACTCAGAGTCTGCCACGGCTAGGGAGGGTGAGACCAGGAATGAAGGCTCACTTTTCTGGATATTTCTTTTTATTTTTCAACGTTGCCTATAGCTTGTGACCTCTGATGCTCCAACAAACCAAGGTGGAGATGACAAAGCCTGAAGAAAGGGAGCCACCTCTGTAGGGGCTACTCTGCCTCTGATTGGGTCTTGCCTACTCCTTCCTCTGCCCAGGGCATCCTCGGTGCAGAAATGTTGGAAGGCCTCAGGAATAGCCAACGGGGAATGAGATTGACCAGTTAGGGCCTCACAGGGATAACATTCTGTTGGGAGCTGGCAGAAAATAATTTCCTATGCAAACAAATAATTTCATTTCGAAATGTGTGTTGTGAAAATTGTCAATTGAGGCTTAAGAACCTCACCAGGTCACTCAGAGGCTTCCCTCGGGGCTGTTGGGAGGGAACATTATTTTTTGTTAGTGGCGCACTGAACAGAAAGCAACCAAAACGCTAAAAACATGTGACTTCCAGGGTCATCTCCTCCTTCCTACCATTATGCCGGGAGGTATGAAGAGCAAACAGACATCACACTGGGGACAAAAATGTGGGGAAAGAAATGTGGAGTGGGAATGTCTTGATGTTAACTAGTCCTTGGATCTAGTCCATTTCTGTCCTTTCTGGTTACATTACAACAAATTTCCTTCTCTCCCACCTGAGCTCATTTGAATTGGGGTTTGTCTTTTCACACCCAAAGAGTCCTGGTTCAATCTGTAAGTCCCTTGTCCCTCTGAAACCTTTACTGGATCTGCAGCAGTTTCCAGTGAGATAACCTATGTATCAGTCTGACTTGGTGTGTTTGGCCTGTTAAAATACTAGGCCAGGCCTGGTGGCTCACGCCCGTAATCCTAGCATTTTGGGAGGCCAAGGCGGGCAGATCACTTAAGTTCAAGAGTTCAAGGCCAGCCTGGCCAACATAGTGAAACCCCATCTCTACCAAAAATATAAAAAATTAGCCAGGCATTGTGGTATGTGCCTGTAATCCCAGCTACTTGGGAGGCTGAGGCAGGAGAATCGCTTGAACCCGGCAGGCAGAGGTTGCAGTGAGCTGTGATCGCGTCACTGCACTCCAGCCTGGGAGATGGACTTCATCTCAAAAAACAAACAACAACAAAAAGTATTATAAACCTGGCAGCTTAGAAACAGCAGAAATTTATGTCTCACAGTTCTGGAGTCTGGGGAGTCCAAGACTGAGGCACTGGCAGATTCAGTATCTGGAGAGGCCCATTTTCTTGCCTTAATGCTGTATCCTCACATGGTCCAAAGAGCAATGCACTCTTTTACAAGGGAACGAATCCCATTTGTGAGGGCTCCACCTTCGAGACTGAATCACTTTCCAAAGTCCCCACCTCCTAACACCATCACCCGAGGGCTTAGGATTTCAACACATAAATTTTGGAGGAATACAAACATTCAGACTGTACCACCACCCATGTTATGTATACAATAAATATGAGTTTCCACCTGATGCTAAGGTAAGGTACTTTCCCCGTTGTCCAATGGGGAGATTAATTCCTACTACAGCAGGGTAATTGTAAGTAGAGGGCCTGTGGAGCCTAAATGCCTGAGTTCAAAGCCTGGCTCTCCCAACCACTAGCAGTGTGACTGTCAGCAAGTTTCTTGCATTCTCTGTGCCTCAGTTATTCTACGAACGGTGATGGTAATGGTAGGACCTAACTCTGAGGTTCGTTGTGAGAATGAAATGGATGCATTAGCAATACAGCATTTAGAAGAAAGTGTGACACACAGTGAGTGCTCAGCACATGCCAGGCCTTACGATTAACTCCTCCCTCCTAGATTTGCCAAGAACATCATGGGAGAGCAATGAAATCACCAAGAAGTTTACAGACCACCACTGTAAGCCTTTAGGAAGAGAAGAATTTTCTGTATTTCATTTCCAATTTTAAACCAAGCACAAAGTTTTCTTTTTCTTTCTTCATGCTTGATAAAACAAAAAGTGAATAACAACAACAACAAAAACTTTCCGGGTAGAACTCTTTCACAAAATTGGTTAAATCCACATTGATAAAAGGAAATCTTTCCTAGTGTTAGTCTTCTGAGGGAAGATGATTTATCTCTCCTATTCTCATTCCTGTTTTCTTTAAGATTGTCCCAGGCTGGGCTCGGGAGCTCACGTCTATAATCCCAGCACTTTGGGAGGCTGAGGCGGGTGGATCACGAGGTCAGGAGTTCGAGAGTAGCCTGACCAATATGATGAAACCCCATCTCTACTAAAAATACAAAAACAAAAGTAGCCGAGCGTGGTGGCGCATGCCTGTAGTCCCAGCTACTCGGGAGGCTGAAGCTGAAGAATCTCTTGAACCCGGGAGGTGGAGGTTGCAGTAAACTGTGATTGCGCCACTGCACTCCAGTCTGGGTGACAGAGTGAGACTCAGTCTCAAAAGAAAAAAAAAAAAGATTGTCCCCAGATAATACATTTGCTATTAATTGTTTTAAAACTCTGCTACATGGATGACATTTCATTAATTTTAACAGGTGGTAGGAAGCAAGACAGGGGCCATTAGTCACATGGTCTTTCCTGTTTTTTTTTTTTTTTTTTTTGAGACGGAGTCTCACTCTGCTGCCCAGGCTGGATTGCAGCGGCACAATCTCTGCTCACTGCAAACTCTGCCTCCTAGGTTCAAACAATTCTCCTTCCTCAGCCTCCCAAGTAGCTGGAATTATAGGCATGTGCATTGGTGCCCAGCTAACTTTTTGTAGTTTTAGTAGAGATGGGGTTTCAACATATTGACCAGGTTGGTCTTGAACTCTTGACCTCAAGTGATCCACCCACCTCGGCCTCCTAAAGTGCTGGGATTACAGGCATGAGCCACCGTGCCCGGCATTGGTTTCTAATGATGGGGTCAAAACTGAAATATTGTCCTGAAGAGACTTTTAAAAAAGATTATACTTAAGCTCTTGCATATTGAATAATCTTTTCCAGGGGGACAAGCAATGTTTGCTAATATCAGATCTTAACATCTGTTTAAACCTTTTCTTTTTTTTTTTTTTTGAGATGGAATCTCACTCTGTCACCAGGCTGGAGTGTAGTGGCATGATCTTGGCTCACTGCAACCTCCACCTTCCAGATTCAAGCGATTCTCCTGCTTCAACCTCCCAAGTAGCTGGGACTACAGGCACATGCCACCACGCCCAGCTACTTTTTGTATTTTTAGTAGAGACGGGGTTTCACCATGTTGGCCAGGCTGTTCTTGAACTCCTGGCCTCGTGATCTACCCACTTTGGCATCCCAAAGTGCTGGGATTATAGGCATGAGCCACCATGCCTGGCCCATTTGTTTAAACCTTTTGTGTTTATTGTATATATGAACTGTGGGCAATGTTTCCTTCCAGAAAAGCAAAGAAATGTGTTTGGGTACACATATGAGAGTGAAAGAAGGAAATGGGG